GCAACAATTAACAGGTGTGGTCTGATCAGCAATATATAACAATGGCTGTCAGTTTAACTGGATTTATGAGAGGTATTGCCAACTCGACCAAACCTGCTAAAGGTTGGTTGCTGATAGCTATGACAGAGATGTTGAGGAACGAGTGGTGGCGAAATGGTTCTTCTGTGGTGTAATGGTAGCATGCGTTCCCGGTATGGGAGAAACGCGGGTTCAACTCCCGCCAGAGGCCGAACTTTCGCTTACAACTCAATTTTCTCGGATGCATTCGAGACGTCATGAGACTGCGAAAAAGTTGCAGAAACATTGGAAATCTTAAGAAAGTCATACAGCAATTTTTTGTAAGCTGAACAATTCTAAAAATGGAAGCGGTCTTCATGAGACATGCAGAATTTGGCCTCTGAACGGTTTAAATCTTACTACTTTGGGTGCACGGCTTAGCAAGTGGTTATGTAGAGCTTCTTGAGAGGACATTTCTTGAGATAAGGTTGATAATCCCCATGTTCCGTGGTATGATCAGGCTACCTCGGCATCGATTTTGTCCTGTTTTGTATGCTGCGGTCATCACGGATGCATTTCAAAATCATTTCCCTCGTGCATCGTGGAGTGCGCAACAGTAGACAGATTGGGTAAGCTACTGAATAAAGTGTTCATCGTATTAGTTTTCGAACCGCGGAACAATGGAAGAGTTGAGCAAAGCATGTAATGGATTGACCAGCGACATATAGTTTTAGTCAGAGATTTAAGCTTTCCAGTGATTATTAACAGTTCTATTTCCTGCCTAGAGTATGAAATCGACTTAAAAATTTGTCGCCGTCTAACATACTAGTATCTAGTTTTTTTTTGGTGATATATTTTTGTTTCACTACAATATGCTCGAATCAGTGACAGTCGGTCTACAGAATCTCGTTAATCTTGTGTGCCATTTTACGAGCACTTTCCCTTACGTGCCATTCGAGCATGAGTAGAAAGCGAGTTTTTTTTTCCCACTGTAAGTCCATCTTAAAGCAAGTATGTGGAAGTTGTATATAGAAATATTTGCAGGAAAATACGCAATTGAACGGTATCAAAATCATGCAATTTTGATTATTTCTCGTTATTACATTTTTTTATTTATTGCTCTCGTGCAAAAAATTACTGAACGGCCTTTTTTTTAGAGGGAACACTGAGCGATCGCAGTGGGAATCGGCGATTATTTTTTGCGGCGTTCAGTTTCATGTGTTCACCGAAAACTTAATATCCAAGGATGCTAAGTGATGCGCAAATTTTATCAAAGAGCGGTGTCAGAGCTGTGGTCTTGGTGGGTTTAGTGGCTTGCGCCTCCGATAGGGGTGAAACGCGGACAACTGCCGACTAATGTCGAGTGTTTTGCCTACCACTCAATACTTTTAGACATATATATATATATATATATATATATGCATATATGTACATATATATACATATATATATGTATATATATATGTATATATATATATATATCTAGCACTGCTGTGAAGCAGTAAGAGTAGAGAGAGCTCGAATATGAATGAAAGTGTCATTCCTTTTTTCATATTTTAGACAAATGGACGTGTGGAAGTTTGTCTCAGGCGGGCGAGTCGAAGACATCTACTAGTACTTCCTCCGATGAGGCACGAATGGTAAGTGTATTCGGCTTGTTCATTTGATCATCTAGCCGTTAGTTATCCGGGAAATCTGCTGTGTTTGAGCTGCCTTCCCGATATTATGACACTGCGACTGAATATGGCAATGCTCCTCGTCGAGCCAGCGGCCAGCCACTTCTAAGAGCCAGATTCCGTAAGTTTTCCTTAGTTGGATTCAATCACTTGAATTTTTTGAAACCCATACTTGTTACAATAATGTTAAGTAACAGATAAAAGTTACAACCTTGGCTGAGAGTTGAACTCGCATTTCACCTTCTCTGGGAGCACAGTATAAGTGATATCAGAACAGAAGCCCGGACAGTGCACGGGTCAGCATGCGTTCCGTAAAAAGTGAAACACATCCAATTTCTGCGCGATGTTCAAAGTTTCGCATACACTCGACATTATTGCGCATCGTTAAATTGTGCAATTTCTTGTGAACATCTTGGTATACAATTTGCCTCAGCTTGTTATAAGATGGAGCTGTTTGAGAACAAATCCGCTTACAACCCGTGCACGAATGGCGGCTAGGGGAAATGCTAGAGAAGCGGCGCGAAGTCAGCGCAGATTTCGTGGACGAACCGAGCGCAGGTGATTCACCAGACTGTCTCTTCGGCTTGAATTTCGCGAACACTTCCTGGCCGTCCTTTCTGCAACCGTATCATGGCTTTAAGCTATTAATTTTGCGCGGCGCTTACTAACGTTTTCTCCTACGATCATTCCTGTATGAGTAGTTTGTTCCCATGACAGCTCCATCTTAAAGAAAGTATAAGCAAGTTGTAATCAAAATTCTTGTAGGAAAATGTACAATGAGCGTTACCAAGATTATGGAATTTTAATTGCTTTTAGTTAATAAATCTGATGTTTATTGCTCTAGTGGCAAAGCTTAGGGAACGGTTTTTTAACATCATACCACCGCTAGAAGAGCTGCTAAATTATGCATATTTATCGATATCGCGCTTATAGATGGAAGTTCTGATGCTCGACTATCGCACTCGAATTATTACTCCGCTAGTATTTGTGAAAATGGTGGGAAACTCGCCACTGAACCTGAGAGAGAAGAAGTTTGTGAGTGGCAGAGTTTCGCTATGCTTTCATCTGGATCTTAAGTGTATTGGAGGAGAGTCGCTGACCACATTTGATTGTTTTCGAAACTTACATTTATGCTGTTTCCATAGTGCTCTTTGCAGACACCATTGTTCGTGAAGAAGCTCATGCACCGGCAAGAAATGACATGGACGGAATATCTGAGTCTTCTCAATTGGTACATTCTTAGTTTGTTCGTGTTGAGACGTTATCTTTGTTCCTGACTACCTCTTATCATTGATGTTGAGTGGTATGCAAAAATCTGGATGTGAGCGGGAGCTGAACTTGCGTCTCATCCTTTCCGGGAGTGCGTGTTAAGCAGTGCACTACCGGGCTCCTGTTCTCCTGTCACTCTTTTGCAAAGCAATTTAGTGATTCTGTCAACAACAAACTGTCAACGGTTTGGCGTCGCAACACATATCGCCGGGGTTACAGAAGCAGAAAAGGAGTGGAGCCTCTCTTATGCTGGAAAGGAGAGTGGCAGAAGAGGTGGGGCAAAGAGTCCACTCTTTTCAGCCAGGCACGCAGATTTGGGTCTGTGGAAGTCAAAAGGTTAATAAACTTGGTCAGTATCCTCTCATCTCTTAACAAGGGCGTGATCATACAGGATATATATATATATATATATATATATATATATATCCTTTGTCCTTTGTCTATATAGGACAAAGAACATCCGACTCCGTGCCCACCTTTTCGACTCGACAATTATCCCTGCCCTAACGTATGCAGCAGAAACCTGGTCGCTACGTAAGCAGGATGAAAGATCACTTGCCGTTATCGAACGCGCAGTCGAAAGGTCGATGCTAGGAGTATCCCGTATTTCGCAAATGAGACAAAGGATCCGAACTTCCGACCTACGTCAACGATCGAAAATCAGAGACGCCGTTCGACACGCCAGGATATCGAAAATAAGGTGGGCCGGACACGTGATGCGCTTCAACGACAACCGATGGACGAGAGCCGTTACCGACTGGGTTCCTCGGGACGTCAAGCGCTCTAAAGGATGACCACTGACCCGTTGGTCCGATTTCTTCACGAAAGCGATGGAAGAAAGATATGATGCTCAGCGAACTCCTAGAGCAAGGAGGACCCACTGGGCTTCTCTTGCACGCGATAGGGAAAGATGGAAGAGTTGCTGGTACCCGCTCGAGTCACTCGACGATCAACGGGACGACAGGTGATACAGGTGATATATATATATATATATGTATATATATATATATCAGAAATCAGTGAACTGCTTGTTAAAAATCATGCGGACCCATCACACGATGCCAGGACGTCGGCACACAAGCATTCTCTCTGGCAAGACTTTTTCAGTTCCTCTCTTCAACTGCTTTGAAAGAAGTGCCCATAAGAAGATAGACGCCACCTCTGATGGGTCATAGAGTCGAACTTAAGTTCTTTGTTACAATGTTTCTCCTTAATTTTTTGTTTATGCTCTTTGATGTATAGAAATCTGGGTTCAATTCGGTCACGAGGGAACAAATGAAAAGGCGACCCACTTCGCTGGGCAAGAAACTGTTCATTTGTGTTTGTAATCATCCGAAAGCTTGAATCTCTGGCTACAGCACTACGTGGCCGTTTATCCAAAAGACTCTTTTATAACGCTGTAGCTACAAAATAAAATTACGTTTCATACCCACCGCGCCAAATTTCTTAGCATGCGTATGATTCGCATGATGCACGAAAAGCAATGATCGCGAGAGAAACTTCCGTCGTATCTGACTCAATCGCTTCATCTGGATTATTAAAGCGGATAACTAATTTCTAATTGAATAACAGGTTGCACCCCATATATCTAAGGCCACAAAATAAGCACACCCTTGGAATCATTGAAAATTACGCTATGGAATGATTACTAATAGTCTGAAGTAAGATCTCTGTTCGGCGAGGTGTGAAACACAGATTTTCTTTCTTATACAGTGCATCAAAAGAACTTTTCCAAAAAGCAAACACATTTTTGAGCTCTCCGAGACCGTGCTATTGAAACAGTACTAGCACTCTAAGGAACGGATTTTGTCAAGAGAAATATCGGCGAGATTAGAAGAAACACGTGGTCTTGTAAAACATAATTTTGTTGTGGATTTTAACTATAAAAAAGTGTTCTGAAACAGCGGCCACCTATCGCGATAGGGGAGATTCTAGCTGGCGAATGATTACTAACACTCCTATGAATTTTCTTTCTACAGTGAATGAGGTCAGACATTTATTGTCTCCCTTATAACACAAAGAACCAAATTTGATAAATATTACTGGTGCTAATTCAAGCAATTTATTGATCTGCCTTCACTGTGTTTGTTTTTATTTGCTTTTTTTTCTACTGTGCGGATCATACTACGTCTAGCATTTGATTCGCCTTTTTTTGCCTTCTTCTTGAACGTTCCAGAATACTGGTTGAGCAAGTTTTCTTGCAATCTCAACGACGGCCTGACTGTGGCATTCCATCTCAAAAGATCAATCTCAAAAGCGCTGTACCTACAGTAGTAAAAGGTTCACCAAT